CGATAAAGTTCAATGCCGTGCATGTTGTTTGACGTTCCTAACAGAACCCAACACGGGCAAAGGCTTCAGTTCCTTGACAGGCGTCTGCAAAATGGAGGGTGGGGATTTTTCATTAGTATCGAAAGAACTAATACCGACAGACTCACCTCTACCATTGACCTCTAAGCCATCATCTAAGATCACGCGATTGTCCAATTCATTGGCATGTCCTGGAGCAATGGTTGGTAGTGAGTTGTTTGCTAAAGTCCTGATGGTGTCCTCCATGGTATTATCCTCCGAAAGTGAAAATATTTCCTGAGCCAAATCATCAACCAAGTCAACAGATAGTACGGATTCATTATCACCAGGACAATTCATAGAATTATATATATTAAACTTAATTAATTGATCATTAGATTCCATGCTAAGAATTCCATTATGCACATCAATCACGGTCTTAGACGTTTTTAGAAAAGGTCTTCCAAGTAAAATAGGAGCAGTAGCATTGTTATTCTCCATATCAAGAACATAAAAATCCGCTGGAAAAACCAAATCTTTAACTTGAACAAGAACGTCCTCGACCAAACCCTTAGGAAATGCATTGGACCTGTCCGCCAATTGAATGACAACTCATGTTGGACTTAAAGGTCCGAGCTTCAAAGAACTATAAATTGCATATGGCATTACGTTAATTGAAGCTCCTAAGTCTAACATAGCCCTTTCAAAATGTATTCCACCAATGACACAAGGAATCGAGAACATACCTGGATTCTTACATTTTGTTGGAAGTTTCCGTTGTAAAACAGCGGAGACATTCTCACTTAACCTTAACTTTCTCATGGCGTTTGAGTTGCGGCTTGCGCTTGGTAGTACACAACTCCTTCAAAATTTTGCATAGCGAGGCACTTGCATGATGGCATCTAGCAACGGGATGTTCACCTCACATCTCCGGAACGTCTCGTAAATATCTCGGATAGGCTCGTCTTTCTCATGTCGAACTAGTGCCTGTGGGAACGGTGGTTCAGGCTTATACTCGGGATAAGTTAGGTTTTTAGCCTTCTTGCTCCTTTCTGCAACTCCCAGGTCAGTATTTGTCTCTAATTTAGTTTTACTATGAACATGGTCAGTGACATGGCCATGTTGGTTATCCTTACCTGCTGCTTCAAACTGCTGTGCGTGTGAATTTTTCTTTATCTGCTCCAAATCTTTGCCACTTATTAACATTATGGAACTCACATTCTTAGGGTTTATCTCAGGTTGAGAAGGGAGTTTTCCACCCACTTGTGCCTCCAAACGGTTCACAAAGGTTGCGAGCTGACTTACTTGAGTTTCAAGGGTCTGGATGCTAACTTTGGTTTCCTTCTGAAATTGTAGGGTATTCAAGGCTAGTTGCTTCACGATATCTTCAAGAGAAGTGCCAGAATCAGTGCTCAGGGACTGCTCGGGTGGTGCTTGTCTACGAAATAATTGAGGGGGACGTTGCTGGAAACTCCCACCATGGTTCGGGCCAGGCTGCTGGTAAAACAAGTTCCCGTACCTCAAGTTTGGGTGATCGCGCTGTAATATCCCGACTTTTTATCAGTATAAATTATGTTTTTAGTTCCGATATTATTTTCGGAAATAATTATTTTCAGTTGTTTCAGTCGAAATTACCGGAAACTATTTTCGACGTACCGT